ATTAAGGGAAGATTTACATCTAAAGAAAAATGTTTTGGCTGGAAGTAAACACTCATAAAGGATTCATTAAAGCAAAAGTGCAAAACCTAATTTGGGACCCTAAAAACTCTGGCAATGCCAGTGAAGTTTCATTGTCTGCTTCAGAATAACAGTCTCTGAAACTGTTGTTCTGCCGCATGCTGTAAAGAACTCCCAAAACTCAAATGTCACAGGAAATTTAAAGGTTGAGTCTGACTACAAGAAGGCCAAAATTTCATAAGTTTCTTAAGTGAGCAATAATAGAATAAAACACGTAGATGGCAGAAATAAAGTGGTGTGTCTGGGGAATTTCATGTTGAGTACTTGGATTTAACAATGCCTGAGGTCCTGCTTACATCGCTTGTGTACCTTTTCCTCAACTAGTAATTTGGTGTTGTACATCTTTTCTAATTTAATTTTGAATGTTCTTGCATATTTAGTCCATCTCTCAACAGTGCTAAAGATAAGTTATTTATCTGTGTAGCATATCTCTACCAATGTCATTGAATATATACACTGGCACAGAAATATGTTTGTTTTATTAAGTAAATGAAGTATTTGCTATAAAAAATGTGTTATTTCAGGCCACCATTTTACCTTTGTGTTCATTTGCTGTGTGTGTATGTCTGTGTTTAGAATCTCGATTATTTTTTTCTTTAGATTTAGATTAAATCATATTTAGATGAATTTTAAAAAACACAAACAGCGTTGTATGGGAACAGGAGTTTAGGTTTTGGCTAATCTCACTCCCTTGGTGAAAAATGCTTTTGCCATTTTATTTTGATGTACAATCATCTAAAAAGGATTCCCTACTGATTTGCTTCCTAATTATTATTGTTTTACACAAAAGAAGGGAAATATGTGTTCAACTGAGTTGTCTCACGTCACTCCATTTGTGTAGATTTCCCAAGCAGAGGTGTCATTTTAAGAATACTACATTATAGACTGTTTGCCCATTTCACAAGCATCTAATCCATGATTTTGAAACTGCTTTAAGAGACCTAAATATCTTTGTTTTTAATAAAATGCTTAAAGTTTAACTAAAGCTCTGGAATAATCTTTATTTCTCTTAGGAAGGACAATTTAAGGACTGAACGAGGCAAGCATGCATCCGAATACCTACGATTTAAATTTTGACTGTCAATTTAGCCCATTAACCTTGTCCTGATCTGTGATGTTTGCCTGTGTGAGAGGGATAGTAGGACAGCCCTGTCCACGGAGCATTTTAAAGATGACAAAAGGTTCTTTGAATTATTGAGGTTTTTCTGGAGGGATAAGAGTCTGCAGCCCAATGCAGACGGGTTCCTGTGTCTGTTACAGATTGCTCAAATTTGCGTGGGCAATTACACAGGGGGATCGCATCGATGCAGGGCCTCCAGCCACTGATGCCATACAATTACACAATGGCTTCGGTGCTTAAACTTTAAAACTCTTACACCATTGTGCCTGTTCTATTAGAACTGCAGCAAATGATCCAAAGCCAATTCAAATGACTGGAGAGGAGGTGCTCAGGGGGAGAGGGAAGAGGTGCAGTGTGGCCCCTACTGGCCAGCTTAAGCAATCACCAACCCCCCCCGTGCTGAGGCGACCACAGGCTTCTTTGTGCTTTTCAGTCCATGCTTTTCAAGTGAGGCCAACAGTTAAAATTACCTAATTCACAGAAGGGCCGTGAGGATTAATGAGGGAAGTTAGGCAAAGCAGGATCTGGTCCTGGTACAGAAAGTCCTGCATAAACACAGGGGCTTAGAGTAGCTCTTTGTTTGGATGGTTGATTGATTGATTTCTTTAAATGTCAATATCCACAGTTGTGCCTTCTCTGGTAATTCCATTTATAAACCATGTTATTGTGCTCTTCCTAACAAGTTAATTTAGGTAATAACACCACAAGCCTCCAAATATAAGCTACTTGATTTTTTTTTAAAGGTATATCCAAGAAGGAAATCTAATTAAAATATTAATAAAGCTGGAACTGCCAGTGAAAGGAGAATTCATAATGAGGTTAAATGTCTTACCATCTGAGCATAAATGTTCCCAAATATTGATTTGGTATACAATTTTTCCAAAACTCTTAAAAGATTAAACAGATGATCCTAAAAGTCAATCAGTTACATTATCAATTTGACACTAATTTATTCTTTCTGCCTTCTTTATGGTGGAAGATTGGGGGGTGGGAAGGAAGAAGCAAGGGGACTGAACCACCAAACTGGCCATCCTGAAGAAAATGGCCTAGAATGAAAGGGAAGAGGAAAATGGTTTTGCAGAAGGTCTTTCTTTAACAAGGAAATTGTCTGACCACAGCTGTGGTTGAGATGTTCATAAATTACCAATGTTTACCAACAGGAAGCAATTACATTTAGAGGATAAATAAGAAAACATAACTTCCAACTAGTTTTAAAAGAGAATGTCAAATAGATTACACATACAAATAGAATATGGAATTTGGTCATCTCACATTTTGACAGGCAGAAACATAAGCATGTTAAGAACTTTTAGCTCCCATACATTTTGCCCGAATGGAATTCTTCTACATGGTAAACATGCCTCCCTTTATGCAGCAAAATCCACCCTGAGCCCAACACTGCTTTCCTAAAGTCTAATTCCTTTCAATAAGGCACTAAATCTTTTTATTGCAACCACAAAATTCTTTCTTATTGCTAGAAATGGTACAATACACTAACTTTTTTGATACATGCTCCAGCTTTCCAAGATTCTGTTGGAAACAAAATGATCCTTTATGACATTTTATAATATTCCACCCCATTTACTGCTTTCCAGAATTTCTATCATTAATTAAACGGCCTTCTTTCACCATCCCCCTCCCAAAAAAACCCTAATCTATTCCCCAACTGCCTGTCATAGACTAAATAAAAGTCAGTCTATCACAGCAGCAGGGACGGTCATGCCAATTTCACAGCGTGATTTATGCACTCATTTTATTTTGCAAATGACACTGCCCTCCATCTGTCTAAGCCGAATGTCCTGCTTTTTCCAAGCCAGGCCTCAGGAGCAGCAGCACATGAAATAAGGAGGAAGGCACAGAACGTCTCCCTCCTGCCCGCTTCAGCAGCCACACTCACAGACAGGTACCAGCACAAAGAGGGGAACCTCAACTGATGCCTGTAGGGATTGGAGAAATTTGGGGGACAGCAGAGATTCCTTCTATTTTGCTTACATTCCCAAGAAGCCATTTGAAGGTGAATGCTTTCATGGTGCGAATACAACTCTGAAAATCAGACTGATAGACTAAAGATATAAAAGGCAATTTCCCATTTCCATGTTCTGTCATGTTACCTTGATTTACAATAGCACCTCACCCAAAGTATCAGGTCATACATAAGGATTTTAAAATAAATACTGAGCCTGAGTTTCCAAGAGACAAGTGTAGTCAGGCAGCCATAAAGGTGAAGATCCTCCCCCAGCCACCTACCCACTCCCCAATTACTGAGAGGCACTAGCAAGCATCCCTCAACCCACATACCTCCCTGAGTTGAAGGCCCTAAAAGAGTGCACCCAGAGATCAGGTTGAAAGAAGCCCCGGAATAGAGTTATGGTGGACCCCATCAGCTGCTTTCTCTGGGGATCTTAGGTGGGCCAGAATGCCACTCAACCCGTCTGAAATGGGTACAGTTTGTCCCTTTCTCAGTATTCATGAAGTGTAAGGTTCGTTGTCTGGTCCCACCCAGAAGAACAGACCTCTGTCAATTTCTCAGCAGGGAAGACTGAATGAGTATATAAAGTCAGTTGCTTTATGATACAAGCAATCACATGCCTGCAGAAGTCCCCTACCAGCTATACTGGGTGACTAGGAACTATACCACCCCCACTAGTTATTTCCTAACACCTGCTCACAGCTGCAAATCAGATCTGGAAGTTCAAATTTCTACTGCCCACACCAAGTTGGTTCGTTGTTTTAATGGAGGAAAAAAAGACACTAATGTCCCAGAATACAATGTGGCAGCAAACACTGGGCCTTTACAAACTCATCTATAGGAAATAAATGGGATAAGTTACAAGCAGTCACTATTTCCTACTGAAACTATCTGCTGGATATCATGGCACTGCTGCTACCTAGCTGTGTGGTCTTGAGCAAATCATTTAAAACTTTCTAGTGCACAGATTCCATATCTGTAATATACAGATCACACGGTGGTCATTAAGATTAAAAATAATCTTAATGTGTAAATTGTCTTAGGGCCATACATATGGTTGGTGTTGGCTCTGGAATTTATATATAGAAAAGATGTTATGGGCAGCAAAAGGACTTGAACTGAAGCCTTTAAGTATATAGCAAAGACATAATTTTATTCGTACGCCGTTTATCTTAGATACTAGATAGTCCAAGGCAGATCATGGACGACCAATGGAGATGCAGGGAGATCAAGGAACACTGGTTTCTTATTTGTAGTGAAAGTTGGAGGGCCAGGCCAATAGATATGGCCAAGATTAAACGCTAACATCTGTTCAGTAATAACTGTTTGGGGTGAGGGGGGAACACCTGGATCTAAAATTAAACGTCTCCCAATACCAGATAATATTTACAAAACCATTTACCATCATTAATTTGTGGAAACGATAAAAATAAGAACTATTATTACCCTCTGCATTTATGTCTTAGACAGTGTGCCCTCAAGGCAGCTTAAAAAGAGAGGCTACTCTAATTCCAGGAGAATGCCAAAGAGATATTCCACCTTTTCCTTCCCATTAAAATACAAAAACAAACCGCGAAACGACGCCATTAGTATGTACTGCAAAGTGTATAAGGCTAAAAAAGCAAGGGATTTCAGACCGCAAATCTTTCTTCCCCGCGCCGGAGACAGGTGACACAGCAGGCAGCCAGCAACTCTCAATCAACCTCAACACTAAAGAAAGGCAAGTGAAACCTCATCTCCCGGCAACCGAGGGTCCGTCCCGCAGAGACTACGCCTCCCAGAGCGCAGCGCGGCCACGTTCCGACGTCGGCGCCATCGGACCAGTGCATGCCGGGAAGTAGAGTTTCCGTTTTTGAATTGCCACGAGGCCTTTCATCTCTCTTGCTGGACTCACGACCTTCGCAGCCCAGAGTCTTCGAGGGCCAATACAGTAGTTTAATGATTCACCTCAGTGATTCCTTTATATTCCTTACAGAGTTTTTCCGTTGCAAAGCAATATCCGGACAAACAGCCTTCCGTTTCCGGTTGGCATGTTGCCGTGGTAACTGGGACGCACAGCCGCGGAGAAGGTTATGGCGGGGCTGAGCGGTGCGCCCATCCCCGACGGGGAGTTCACCGCGGTCGTGTACCGGCTCATCCGGGATGCCCGCTACGCCGAGGCCGTGCAGCTGCTGGGCGGAGAGCTCCAGCGGAGCCCGAGGAGCCGCGCCGGCCTGTCGCTGCTGGGCTACTGCTACTACCGCCTGCAGGAGTTCGCGCTGGCCGCCGAGTGCTATGAGCAGCTGGGCCAGCTGCACCCGGAGCTGGAGCAGTACCGCCTGTACCAGGCCCAGGCCCTGTACAAGGCCTGCCTTTACCCAGAGGCCACCCGCGTCGCCTTCCTCCTCCTGGACAACCCCGCCTACCACAATCGGGTCCTCCGTCTCCAAGCCGCGATCAAGTACAGCGAGGGCGATCTGCCCGGGGCCAGGAGCCTGGTGGAGCAGCTACTGAGTGGGGAAGGAGGAGAAGACAGCGGGGGCGAGAACGAGCTCGATGGCCAGGTCAACCTGGGCTGTTTGCTCTACAAGGAGGGACATTATGAAGCCGCGTGTTCCAAGTTCTCTGCTGCCTTGCAGGCTTCGGGCTACCGGCCTGACCTCTCCTACAACCTGGCTTTGGCCTATTACAGCAGCCGGCAGTATGCATCCGCGCTGAAGCATATCGCCGACATTATTGAGCACGGCATCCGCCAGCACCCAGAGCTGGGTGTGGGCATGACCACTGAGGGCATTGATGTTCGAAGTGTTGGCAACACCTTAGTCCTTCACCAGACCGCTCTGGTGGAAGCCTTCAACCTCAAGGCTGCCATAGAATACCAACTGAGAAACTATGAGGTGGCCCAGGAAACCCTCACGGATATGCCTCCGAGGGCAGAGGAAGAGTTAGACCCTGTGACCCTGCACAACCAGGCGCTAATGAACATGGATGCCAGGCCTACAGAAGGGTTTGAGAAGCTACAGTTTTTGCTCCAACAGAATCCCTTTCCCCCAGAGACCTTTGGCAACCTGTTGCTGCTCTACTGTAAATATGAGTATTTTGACCTGGCAGCAGATGTCCTGGCAGAGAATGCCCATTTGACTTACAAGTTCCTCACACCCTATCTCTATGACTTCTTGGATGCCATGATCACTTGCCAGACAGCTCCTGAAGAGGCTTTCATTAAGCTTGATGGGCTAGCAGGGATGCTGACTGAACAGCTCCGGAGACTCACCAAACAAGTGCAGGAAGCAAGACACAACAGAGATGATGAAGCTGTCAAAAAGGCAGTGAATGAATATGATGACACCCTTGAGAAGTATATTCCCGTGCTGATGGCCCAGGCCAAAATCTACTGGAACCTTGAAAATTATCCAATGGTGGAAAAGATCTTCCGCAAATCTGTGGAATTCTGTAATGATCATGATGTGTGGAAGCTGAATGTGGCTCATGTTCTGTTCATGCAGGAAAACAAATACACAGAAGCCGTAGGTTTTTATGAGCCCATAGTCAAGAAGCATTATGACAACATCCTGAATGTCAGTGCTATTGTGCTGGCTAACCTGTGTGTTTCATATATTATGACAAGTCAAAACGAAGAAGCCGAGGAGTTGATGAGGAAGATTGAAAAGGAGGAAGAGCAGCTCTCCTATGAGGACCCAGATAAGAAAATCTACCATCTCTGCATTGTGAATTTGGTGATAGGGACGCTCTATTGTGCCAAAGGAAATTATGACTTTGGTATTTCTCGGGTTATCAAAAGCTTGGAACCTTATAATAAAAAACTGGGAACTGATACCTGGTATTACGCCAAAAGATGCTTCCTGTCATTACTAGAAAACATGTCAAAACACATGATTGTGCTTCGTGACAGTGTTATTCAAGAATGTGTCCAGTTTCTAGAACACTGTGAACTTTATGGCAGGAACATACCTGCTGTTATTGAACAACCCCTGGAGGAAGAAAGAATGCATATTGGAAAGAATACAGTCACTTATGAATCCAGACAACTAAAAGCTTTGATTTATGAGATTATAGGTTGGAATATGTAGTAATGTCTAATAATGGCTTTTATCAAAATGGCTCTGTTAACTATACATATTTGCAACTCTTTTATCTGTGTTTGTCCTTTGGCATCTTCACATTTGTTATACGTTGAAATTTGTACACTTTAAAATTATAATTAAAATAATTTTGATGTATCTTTTGAGAAACCTCACAAAAGAATTATAATAAAAAGAACTTGAACCCTAGAAGGATTTATGAAAAATTCAAAAATGAATGGGGAAGTGTGTCTAATAGTATTTGTAATGCCTATGTTCTCTCTCCATTGTATCTTTTGTGTTTTGCTATATCCTGAAAAAATCCTGCATGAGAAGATTATATCATCCAGAGACCAGGCACTATCAAATCCAGAACTCAGTTAATGTATAGAACATCTGGACATTAATAATAGGGTTTCACATTATACTTCAACAATTTACCCTTAAGTAACACTAATTAGTAATGCATACATTTTGCATAGATTTTAGTATGTCTTGCCAGAATTTTCCAATACAATTGTAATGCTTTATCTAACAAGAATTCCTTATGTTCTAAATTTTTTTTTTTAATCTGTAGGATTCAGTAGGAAATCTTGTGCCATAGTAAAACTATGGTGCTATGGTGTGGAGACAATAAACAATTAACCAATTTCTATGGTTTTCTTGTGTCCATTTGTGAATAATTTGAATATATAATCTTACTCTTTGCATAACTGATCTTTAACAGTGATTAATAACAAGTACCCTTAGAACTCGGTTCTTAGTTCTTGTTTCTACTTAAGACACATTAATACTGGACTTTGTTTGTATGTTGTAGCCTTTTGGAAAAGGAAAAATATTCTATGCTATTCCAATGACCCTATCAAACTCTCCTACTCATACCATAGAATGGTATCAATGGATTCTGAAAACTTATCTGTTAGATTCATAATGCCAGTTTCATAGTCAAAACTCAATAGTGTTTGGGGGTTCTCACTGTGAACCCCACTCATTCTGCATAGACATTTAATTTTCTGTAAGCTACAAGAGATTTACTGTTTGTTTCCCCAACCCCTTACACCTTTGCTCTTCATAAAAGTAACTGCCATGCTCACTTGATCTGGTTTAGAAAAAGTCAAAAGCATTAGGTTGAATCATATGAAATTGCTGATTTTGAAAGTTTTCAGCCTATAAAAATAGTAATTCCCATGGATCAACCTAATAGCTCTTGATGAACAGTAGGAATTCCTGCTATAATAATTTTCTTTTTTTTTCACAGAGGAAACAGCTAGATAGGTGCCCAGAGAAAGCATGCTGAGAATAATTCTTCTGTAGCATGACGTCTTTGGGTACTGAAATTCTATCGTAATCTGTGCGAGAATTTGGCTCATAGTGACTTCTACTGCATGGGCTGGAATTTATGTCATCTTTTAGCCTGTTATCCAAGCTGGTACCATTTATCTAGTTGATGGTGATGGTCTCATATTTGGAAGGAAACTCTGAAGGCATTATTAAAGGAATTAATATGCTGTACATTGGAGGAAATTTTCCATTTGCTTAAGAAGTATAGAAAACATACAGTGTCCTCACTCAAGTAAAGGACTCCTTTCCAAACCTAGTGGTTCCTTCTATTACAAATTAACTTCTGGAGCATGTAAAGAAATAAATATTTTACAGTTCTGGTTTTCCTGTTGGCATGTTAACTGGGATGCACACTCAACACACCTGCTGTTACTGAACAACCCCTGGGAGAAGAAAGAATGCATATTGGAAAGAATACAGTCACAATTGAATCCAGACAGTTAAAAGCTTTGATTCATGAGATTATAGGTTGGAATATGTAGTAATGTCTGATAATGGCTTTTATCTAAATAGCTTTGTTACTCCCATTTCACACATTTAAAAAATCTATATTTATCCTTGACTTTACAGTTGTTACATTTGAACTCTGTACACTTAAAATTATAATAACAAATATTATTTGATGAACTTTTCCATTTTTTTAAGAAGAGTAGGGAGCATGCAGTATGAGCTAAATCACTTTTGCATTCTCTCTGCCAGTAACAGTCACCAGGTCTTGCCCCCAAGCAACAATTGCTAGAGTGACATCTTTGTATAAGCAAGTAACCGTAAATAGCAGTTTCTATTCTACTTTAGGCTGTAGAAAAGGGTGTGGCATGAGCCAAAGAACTGCTAATGTGGGTATGTTTGCATTCATCTGGTGATCAATATGTAATGGTCCATGGCTGGACCATTTCTCAATCAGCAAATAAATATAGGTTCATTGCGCCATCTCAGGATAGACCGTGCTGTCCAATAAGACCAATTCTCACTTTAATTTTTGCCTCCACTTCATTTTTTAGTCCTTCAACTTTCTGGGTCTCAGCAAAGTTGAGTATGGACCCCTGGCCTAAGCTCTCTTAGAAGTACTGAATGAGAATTGGTTTTTTTCAGGTATGAAGTTTGGTCCACGACTTCATTTTTCTTCTATAATTTGGTTGCTTGGTTGGTCTTAAGTTATATAATCAAAATTTCCCTTCATATTCCACTTTTTATTTTCCAGAATTGTTGTGCCTCCTTGTGAATACTAACAAATATCAAGTGTGGACACTTTGTGATGTGTTCAGTATAGGTGAAAATGAGCACCGAACTGATAATGAAAAGACTAAGGTATGAGTTCCAGACTTCCCAAAATTAAGTTTTAGGACTTAAGAAATTCATTTACCCCTTGAGATCCCAATCATTCGAACTACTAGATGCTCTTCACAGTTACTTCTGGCTATAACATCTGATTCTGTATAAGTCATATAGAAGAAAGTTGCCTTCTTTTACGACCTGAATATATAAACAAGTCACTAAGGAACACAATATATATTTGTATTATAAATGAATGTTTTATGGTATTTTGACTTATGACAGTAAACGTTAACCCCTCAGGTAGATGTTTGTTGTTATTGTTGGATGCTATAACATTTTGACTACTACTAAGAAATTTGCATTTTTGTCTTTTTGTTCACTTGGAGATTTGCTTACAGCTCTAGCTATGAATGTACTGTAAGGCAGTCCTCGTTCTCTGCTATGGTTGTGCATAAATCAAGAATTTTGTAAATATTTAGAAATTAATTCTCTTAACTTCCCTCTTTTAGTTTATCTACTAATGTCTATTTGTTGGGGATGGGGAGATGTGATTTTAATTCTTCCCCAAGATGATATACCAAAAATGATACATAAATGATATATACTCCAGGAGTTTTATTAATAGGCTATTATAATATGCATTTTTTTAAATCAATTATTCTTGAAATAATTAGAGTCTCTCCTACCCCTGAAGGCCTCCAACTGCTGGTTTGCCAGAAATCTGGAAAGAGAGGAACACTGAGGTGAAGATGAAACGGAGCTTTAGCTATATGATTTACTTCACAACCCACCTTGGATCCCCTTCATGTCCAAATCTCAGTAGTTAATCAAAGGTCTGCTACCATTAACAGAACAGCAGTAATGGATAACAGATGCCAGAGCTACTTCTGTAACTAACTCATTCAATCAAGTCATCAGTCCTCACACCCTTGTTTTATTTAATACAAGGAGGTCATGCAGACTTTCCAAAAGGACAAAGCCACAATGAGCCGGAAGACAATTTCCAGTTTATAAAGCTTTTTTTGGAGCTGTTTCTTTTTTTGCCTTCAAAAGGTCTATTTAGGAGGTAGTAGTGTTTACTGCTGCAGAATGTATCACAAGATAAGAAATGAAAAATCTCTCTCCCTTACCACACCCCGCCTTTCCTTTTTCTTTTTCTCTTTTATTTTCTCCCTTTTGTCAATTACAGGGACACTTTTCTGATAGCTGGCGGTTGAAACCACAAGCTGGTATAAAATATGCATACCAACATTTTAGCGATAAGTGTCAGGTAAGCTAGCACTATGATTATCAAGGTGACTTTAGAAACCATTTAACCATGCATCTTTGCAAATTGAAATCACATTTATCAATAAAAAGTGACTCTCAAATTAGTAAAGCCAGAAGAAAATTTTGAAAGGAATCACCTAAAACACTGGATCTGTATATTTTGTAGAACACAGTGAGCTTTATTTGTATCCTCGCAGTAATTCCTATACATTCTTTTTTTTTTTTTTTTTTTTTGTGGTACACGGGCCTCTCACTGTGTCGTGGCCTCTCCGGTGGCGGAGCACAGGCTTCGGACGCCCAGCCGCTCTGCGGCATGTGGGATATTCCCGGACCAGGGCACGAACCCGTGTCCCCTGCATCGGCAGGCAGACTCTCAACCACTGCGCCACCAGGGAAGCCCCCTATACTTTCTTTTAAACTCTCTTTGACCTCAATAGAAAAACAGTGACTGAAAAAGATGTACAATATTTTTATTATTTAAAATGTTCCATGACATTGGGAATTAATTATACTCTGAACTCTAGTGTATACTTGCTTTTCTGCATCCATAATCATATTTATATTGAATATTTTTTATATCATGTATAATGTGGTCTTGTTTTAATATTGTCTTGGTAGGAGGCTGTGTGTGGGCAGTTTGAGGAGATTATTTTATACCTGAATCCCCCTATTAATTGAGGTTCTTTTGGCTGTTTAATTGGATTTGGGCCAAGATTGATCCATCACATACTGAAATCTTGTCTACAACAAAATATGTACATAATAGAAAAGGAATTGCCTTCATAGGGGAAAAATATTAGAAAATAGAGCTCTATACATATTTCTATCATGAAAAATAAGCATTTGTTAAAGTAGGACCAGACAATAACTTGATTGTGAACATTATTAGGTGAACATGTACACTGAGTCCAAGTCCTTGTCCAAAAGTGAAATTTGCACATATTTGTGAAAGTAAGCACATCACTGTCAATGACTGGATACCTCAGTTCAAAAGAGCAAATGGCTAAAATTGCACTGTGCTAACAGGACCCAAGTAAGCTATGTGAGCAAGCATTTATTGCTATTATTATTTTGTTTCCAGTTATTTTATTACAAGAGGCAAATGCATAAGATAAAAGACACATGACTTAAGGTTTCACCAGCACTCACGGCAACTGCTCTAAAAAGTATGTCCACAGAGCGTCCACAGACTCTAGAAAAGCTTGTCAAGACTCACCAGGAAATTACTGGCTGGTTAGTACTTCTGTCTCTGCTGCATATGGTGAGAGGCTATTCTGGGAAGACTCAACCTCTTAGTCCCAGTTATTCCAAATTTGCCAAAGCCATCTCCTATAATTTATGCACTTCGTATACGGAAAGGAGAATATATACTTTGGAGACTAGAAGACATTTAGTTCCTCTTTAAGTCAGGAAATAACAGTGTATATATCTCAAGATATGGTCACACCCTAACACTGTAAAGCAAAAGCTTCAGGAATCAAATCATAACAGAAACACATTGTTTTTCACAGAACTAAAACAAAAATTTTTTTAATTTATATGGAAACACAAAAGACCCCGAATAGCCAAAGCAATCCTGAGAAAGAAAAACAGAGCTGGAGGAATCAGACTCCCTGACTTCAGGCTATACTACAAAGCTACAGTAATCAAACAGTATGGTACTGGCACAAACACAGAAATATAGATAAATGGAACAGGATAAAAAGCCCAGAAATAAACCCATACACCTATGGTCAATTAATCTATGACAAAGGAGGCAAGACTATAAAATGGAGAAAAGACAGTCTCTTCAATAAGTGGTGCTGGGAAAACTGGACAGCTACATATAAAAAAATGAAACTAGAACATTCTCTAACACCATACA